AGGGGCCACACCTTGGAAGCCATCACTGTAACTCACTGTAGAAGGTGTGGCTCCCCTTGTACAAGTAAAACAGCGCATGTCTCATACTCTGTGGGCCAGGAGCCGGGGGGGGCTGATCACTCTCTCCGACAGGCGGGATCCTGTGTTGCGGGATCTTGCGGTGTTGCGGCATGGCAGGATTTCTCATCAGGGTGGGGGGCGGTCTCGCAGGGGCGCTGTGGATTGATTGCCAGGGTGGATGCCCCGGACGCTTTTGGATCTTTTGTGTGGCGGCGGTTTGGGTACCCGGTGGAGAATGTGGACGGTGGGGGGTTGGTGGGCGGGGCGCGGGCCGTCTATGGGCATTGTGGGGGGATAGTGCCGAATGCAGTGGCTGGCACTGCTGCTGTGTGAGGCCATTTGTGGGGCCGTCGTAGCTCTTTGCTTGGATCCGCTGCGCCGGTGGGAAGAGCATTGGAGGGCCGGGTGGCACTTGCGGGTGTTTTTACACCCCAGCTTTTGCAGTCAAGTGCTGGAGCCACGGCAGTGGCGGGGGATGTCGGCGTTTTCGTTGCAGCCGGCATGAGACCATTTTCTGTGTTGTTGATTGTTGTTTGCACTTGAAGTAGTGATGCTGGGAGAGGTTTTGTGTTTGTTGTCGGTATTGTTTTGTTTGTATTCTGTTTTGTGTCCGGTTGGGGGGTCGGGTGGGGGAGGGGCCTGTCATTTTGGTTTGTGGTGCTGGATATTTGTTATGTTCTTTGCTGCATGTGATGATGGTGATTGTTCGAGGTATTTCGCCATACACCTGCATTGTTTGGCGTTTTTTTGTCTTTCGGATTAGTCAGGTGGGGGGCTGATGTATTTCCTCTTTGAGGTTTGCTGTTCTGCCTGTTCTCAATTAAACCCTGTATTTCCCGATCGCTTGAGTCCAGTCCCTGCTTCCCCGGTCCCGGCTTGGCAGATCGTGACAATTCCAGGTCCATTGTTTATTTTTATTATTACTCTGTATTCGTTCATTTGTTCGTAAATTGCAAACTCTTAGGTTGTAACATTTGTACAGCTATTGCATAATTTTGGTGAGCAATGGCTACCAAAATGACATACAGTACAGTGTACTACCTGATACAGTATCTTCAATTAAAAAAGCACTATAACCAACAATGTTTTATATATATTTTTAAATATTTTTTTATATACAGTGGTACCTCGGTTCTCGAACTTAATCCGTTCCGCACTCCGGATCGAATCCTAAAAAGTTCGAGTTCTGATCGAATTTTTCCCATAAGAAATAATGGAAAACCAATTAATCGGTTCCCAGCCCCCCAAAATTACACCTAAATGTTTTTGCACAAATTGGAACCGCCTCCGTGACGACACACCTTTGCCCTTATTGGCTGAAGAGTTTAGTTACACGCATGACGTTTGTATCCCAGGCAGTTCTGATGCATTGTTTATTTTTATTATTACTCTGTATTCGTTAATTTGTTCATCAATAGCAAACTTTTAGGTTGTAACATTTGTTCAACTTTTACGTAAGTTTTTGATGAGCAATGGCTAACAAAATGATATAAAGTACAATGTATTACCTGATAATGTTATTTTATTGAAAATACTGTATCACCAACAAGCGCTGCTACTACAGCAAATGCGAGGCTGACACTGAAGCGTTACCTTTTGTTTCCGCTCAGAGACGTGCCGTGTGACTCATTTCCTGGCGCGTACAATTTATATTAGGTCAGCGTTCACGGTTCGACTTCTGATATTCAGATTGAGTTCTAGGTCAAACTGGTTTGTTTGACTTTCAAGAAATTCGAGTTCTAGTGAGTTTGAGAACCGAGGTACCACTGTACTTTATATATATTTTATATATGTTTTATATATATATCTATAAAACGTTTTTTCTTCCTTTCTTCTTCCTTTCCTTTCTTTCATTCTTTCTTTTTGTTCCTTATTTCTCTTTCTATCTTTCTATCTTTCCATCTTTCTTTCAATTTGTCTTTCTGTTTCTCTCTCATTCTTTCTCTTCCCCTGTCAGATCTGGCTCAGTTACTCAATAATTTAAATGAATAAATAAATTAATACAAAATATCAAGTAAGAAGAGGAGCTTATACTAAATTGTTAAAGCTCCACTTGGCAAAGCAAAGCTGTTTGGCGCATCTGGGCACCCAGCTCCATATTCTGTTTGCTAAGCTGCCAGACACGACAGGTTAAGAGGGAACGAAAAAAAAAAAAAAGCTGAAACTGAAGCCTCAGTCTGAACAGATCTGAGCCCATGAGAATCTATTTATTATCAAAGCAGAAACATCCATCCCAGAAGAAGACAATCTATTGCCCAGTCATGCTTAATGAATATAGAGCAGTAGCTTTTTTCCAGCTGCATGCTGAGGATTGACATTTAAAATTTTGCCTGTATGTCTTTTGACTGAGAGTCTAGATGTTTTAATTTAAACAATGGTTAAATGTATATTTACCTTTGATCTGTAGGAAAAGGTCCCTTTCTGAAACTGATTGGTTTGTCCATTGACCTGTCACTCTTCATGGAAACAGACCTGGGTACAGGTGAGCCTGCTCTCTCCATCAGGACACTGTGGACAGTGAGAGGAAAGATCCTCATTACATAAGTATAATTCATATAATGTGGACAGGGTCACATTAAATCTTCAGCTGTTTAACCTTCTGCTCTGTCTTCATATACTTTGATATGTTGTGAAGCTCTTGATGCAAACATGCTTGTTCACAGTTAACTTTAACGTAAAATAAAGTAATTTGCCTAAAATGAAGATCCCAATATGAAAGGTTTAATATCATTGTTACAGCCTCCGTTGCTAGGCTTGTCTGTTGTTGCTTGATATTATATAAATTTAGCCGTAAATGGGGTTCCCCACAATAGTTAAAAAAAAAAAAAAAAAAAAAGTTACCAATAAAACATTTTACCGACCGGTTACTGGGCTTAATACCGATAACATGTTCTGAATGGGGCGGGACTGCGGAGACCGAAAATATAAACTTTATTTTAGCATATTCAGAAAAAGATCTCGCGCCCCAAAGAAGTGAAAAATTGAACAATCAGCGCTAGGTGGCAGCAGAGGACGGCGTCCAGGGAGTACAATTAAACGTAAATTCTTGAAGGAGATTAAATTTAATAAATGTAATTAAGGATAAACATAATTCATCTACCCCACAGACCTGAATCAGTTAAGTCTCACTGGAGTGAATTAAGTTAAGACTGATTACTCTCTCTTCCGAGAATGTTGGAATGTTTTATTTTTATGACCGTGTGTAAAGCAGTACAAACACACAGGTTCTGTCTTACCTCTTAGTTCTCTTTGTTTTACACTGCACAGGGGGGGTCATTTCAGAAGCAGCTCCCCCCATTTTTATGCCGATGACTGATGCTGGGGCCTCTATGAACACGAAGCGTAAATAGTAACATACATGCATAATATCT